CCTCCCTCTCCCCTTTCGGTCCTCCCCTGACACCCCCTTTGTCCGCATCTCGCGCCGCAGACCGGGCCTGCGATGGATCTCAATGTCGACCTGGGACCGATGTCTCGCGACGACCACGCCGGTCGCGTCGTCGCTGGTCTGCGCTCCCTGTACGAGCAGGGCGAGCTCTGCGACGTGGTCCTTGTCGTGGCTGGGGAGTCGTTCCCGGCGCACCGGAGCGCGCTGGCGGCGGTCAGCTCCCAGTTTCACGACGTCCTGACCAAGCTTGGCTCCAGCGAGTGGTACGGCAGCGGCGCCGAGCCGAAGTCCCTCGTCGTGCAGCTCCCCGACATATCCCACCCTGAGGCCGTGAAGGCGATGCTGGACTGCATATACTGCCCAGGCACGGACTACGCACCGAGCAGCGATGCCGCCAATCGTGACGTGCTCCGCCTGGCGCAGCGTTTCTGCATCGACCAGCTGCAGGGCCTGGCCTCTCGATGGTTGGCCACGGGCTTGTCCTCCGCCAACGTGCTCGATCGCCTTCTGGCCTGCGAGGACTTCGCTCTCGCCAGTGTGCGCGACGGGATCATGGCGCAGCTCATGAACAGCCCAGAGGAGCTGCTGGCGCTGGTCAAGGACCCGCAGATCACCAAGGTGCCCGCGGTGCTGCAGGACCTCCTGGTTAGGATCATGTCCCTGCTCGTAGCGGACGCCAAGGCACAGGCGACCAGAAGACCCTCCCATCCCAACACAAGAAAAGGGATTCCAGGCTGAAGTAGGCAATCGCCGTCTGGAGTGGTGGAAGGTCAGTCAGTCCGTCTTTGTCGTCGTTTGTTTTCTGGATGACCTGTGGAACTTAAGCATCTCCCTCACTGAGCTCACACCCTGTAGCAAGAAACCGATCATTGACTAAGTAGGGCGAGATCGTTACCCAGAGCCGCTGTGGAGTTGCCACGGAGTAAATTGGGCCCATGCGTGCGGGCTCTTGGGTGTCGGCCCCGATGTTGGGTTGGCATCTGTTTGGTGTTGGGCGCTTTGCACATGGGACCCGCAAGTGCGTCTTATACGCACCACGTGCACTATGTACGCCACAAGGGCCTGCACGCACACATCCGGATGCGAGCGTGGTTGGCGCCGCCTCAGTTCCAGCGCAGCATCGATTTTTCCCAGGACCGCTTGAGGCATCGCTGCATCACTGTAGCGTGGCGCGGCTGTGACGTCGCACCAGTCCTCAGGAGGGCTTATTCGGGACCGCCCGGGGTCCTATCGGGCATCACAATTTCGACACACACGTCGGCGCATGTAGGAGCCATTTTTGTGA